TCCCAATTTTTCACACTTGCTATCTGGTCACTCTAGTTCAATTAGGTCAGATATTGTATGACTATATTGCTATTTCAGCTACCTAATGTGCACTGCTGTTTTTATGTCTCTTGTCATGCCACAATGATGTCAGATGTAAAAAGACAGTTGGAACTTATTTTTAACTTAATCTCCTATATTTAATCTCACATCAGATAATTTGTTCTACACAGATGCAGCAGAACCAAAGCAATTGGGTGTGAAACACTACTGTGTTTATTATACACATTGCACTTGGATAGTCTAACTCAGGGGTCGGCAACCTTTCAGAAGTGGTGTGCCGAGTCTTCATTTATTCACTTTAATTTAAGGTTTTGTGTGCCAGTAATACGTTTTTAGAAGGTCTCTTTCTATAAGTCTTTCTATAAGTCTATAATAAATATCTTTCTATAAGTCTATAATAAATATCTTTCTATAAGTCTATAATATATAACGAAACTATTGTTGTATGTAAAGTAAATAAGGTTTTTAAAATGTTTAAGAAGGCTCATTTAAAATTAAATTAAAATGCAGAGCCCCCCGGCCTCGTGGCCAGGACCCAGGCAGTGTGAGTGCCACTGAAAATCGGCACACGTGCCATGGGTTGCCTACCCCGGTCTAACTCAGTGGCTCTCAACCTTTCCAGACTACTGTATCCCTTTCAGGAGTCTGATGTGTCTTGCATATCTCAAGTTTCACCTCACTTAAGAACTACTTGCTTATAAAATCAGATATCAAAATATAAGTGTCACAGCACACTATTACTGAAAAATGGCTTACTTTCTCATTTTTACCATATAATTATAAAATAAATCAATTGGAATATAAATATTGTACTTACATTCCAGTGTATAGTATACAGGGCAGTATAAACAAGTCATTATCTGTATGAAATTTTAGTTTGTACTGATTTCGGTAGTGCTTTTTATGTCGTCAGTTGTCAAACTAGGCAACTATCTAGATGAGTTGCTGTACCTCCTGGAAGACCTCTGCATACCCCCAGGGGTACGCGTAATCCTGGTAGAGAACGACTGGTCTAACTCACAGCTAATGCTACACTTCCCAAAATTCTTTGGGCTTGGTTCTCATTTAACACAATTTTCATGGTGCAGCAATTCCATTGACTGTAGTTGGACAACTCATGCATTACAATATTACATATAAGAATTGGACCTGAATTTTTTATACACCGGGTGGAGCACTTGATCTGCAAAGAGGATACATCCATTTGGGATTTGCCATGATACTGCTGATAATACAGATTTTATTCCAATTAAAAGATCTGCAACTGGTTTCCACATACTGAGTCAGCCTCTTTAGCCTTAGGGCATGTCTACACTTGTCATTTAAAGTGGGAAAAGTCCCCACTTCCCAATGACTTTTTGCAGTGAAACTCAGAAGTTTCACCGCAAAAAGAAAACCACCTCCATGAGAGGTGTACAGCTCTTACTGGTGATGCTTTTGCGGTGATGTGCAAGTGAAGTGAAGACACGTTATTCCTGTTTATACAGCTTTTAGCCTCCGGGGGATATCCCACAGTGCCTAGGTGACCACTCTAGCCAGCAGCTCTGTTGCTAGATAAACAGACATCCACCCCTCCCCCTGTAAAGCCCCAGGAACTTTGAAAATCCCCTTCCTGTTTTCTTGGCAAGTGCTCACTTATCTGGCCATGTGACAATGCCTGCTCCAAACGATTCCTGAGCTATTGGAGCTTATCAGTGTTTGGGGAGAAGAGGCTGTGCAGGGACCCACGAAGCCCTGCAATCACCTCCTCCCTTTCCCACAAAACCCATCGTCAAACTGGAGAGAGCGGCACTGTGGGATAGTTGCCCTAGAGCGCTGCTCTCATCGGAGATAGAAGTGCTGCTAATGTAAACACTCTCTGATGCCTGAGGAATTAAGTGAGTACACAAACCAGTTACTTTGACCGGTTCCCTATCACTGGTGAAACTTACAGTGCAAAAACTCTGCAAGCATAGACATACCCATAGTCCTAAGGGTTACTAAACCTCTCTCTCATACAACAGCGTTAGGAGTAATGTTTAATGGGGGACATAGGGAGCTGCCCTCCCACTTTATTATCAGTAGGGAATGGAATTACTCCCTGTGTGGTCTAAGTATTAAATCTTAGCAACTAAAAATACCAAGTTCTAGTAAATATGTTCTAGCACAATAGCAAGCTTTGATCTTTGAAATATATAAGCCCCACTACATCATACTGTGGCAAAGATTTGTTTTTGGTAGAAGGTGTTTGAACACACTTACTGGTCCCAACCTGCCCTTTCCTGCCAAAGTAGTATAAAGAAAAGCCTTCACAAGGAAATCCTTTCATTGAAATGCTCTGTAGTCCCACTGTTTCTTCCACTAAGAAGAATAAATTTGAAAATTCTTTGAGTCTAAAAGTAGTTCTTTTGGATGGGAAATGTGGTTTTTTAGCACTTGGTGAAACTATTCACTTGCTGCTTGGCCCTCTTAAAAAAATGTCATGACAACTAAAACTGTCCAAAACAATCAACTCAAACAGCTTTTCCAGGAGTCATTCTGAGAGACTAGATGGGAAGAGGTTCTCATGGCAAGAAAAATCTGGGAAATATGTGAACATGCTTTCAAAATGAGGCTGAGGCCCTCATGTCAACATCTAAGCCAAGGAGGACCCACCTTATAGAGGGGAGGGCGTGGGGCTTATATTGGGGGACAGAGGTAGAAAAGGCTGGTTGAGGCAGATTTCTCTTGATGCTTTTTCTTGGAACTGAACCTGGACCGAATGATATCCAAATCTCCGTAAATTATACTGCTGAATTTGCTTTGTGAAGCATGCCCCAACTTAAAGCCTGCAGCATTTTCCCAGCAATTTTGAAACTGGCTTTGGTACTTTTCCTAATCTACCTCATCCTGTCATGGAGAAACACCCACCTCTGCAATTTCCCCAGCAAGCTCACATCGTGCAGTTTTACCTCACAGTGCTTCCTGTCCTTAGAAAGCTTGAACCCTTTCTTGCCATCACAATAGCAGGCATAGCTTCCTGGAGAATTTACACACTCTTGAGCACAAATGTTTTCAGCACATTCATCCACATCTGCAGTGAAACGGAAGCACATTGCATGAGACTTAGACTGAACAATCATTTAATGTTCTAAAGACAAGTACATTAAGTTAATGCAACAATGGGCAAGACAGTTCTATATTGGAATGTGAATCCTGTCTGTGGTGGTGGTGGTGTATTAAAATATTAAAGGGCCCTCTCCAGCCTGAAATTTACATTGCCTTTTGGA